AAGGAGTTACTACAGGTACAATCATTATCCGAATGGGCCTGCTGATATGTCAGAATTACACGTGTTTAAATTGAACACGAGGCTATAGAAACCAAATACCGCCCTCTACGGTGAAAAGCAGTATAACAAAGGATTCTAGTATTTGCAGCAGGCGATAAAAATGTACCCAGTTACTCCTCGATTATCACAATTTCTGTGGCATTTCTTGGGCGATTATTGAATTCTTTGTCCAAGTTATGTACCCGATTATGGTAATTTTGAGCAGTAGTTGTCTTTCCAATTGCGCTCTCGTAGTTTTTAATGATTTTTTTCTCGTTACGATCACGTCTTTGTTTGGGTTCGTTCTGGCACGCATTACAGCTAACGACGAGCACTGCGCATTTTTCCGAGACTAGTCTGAACTTGCCTTGCAACAGCTATCCGTATCGAAACTTCGTGATTACCAAGTAATTTTCAGCTTTTAAAAAAAAGCATGCGATGTTTAAAATAAGAGATAAATATTTATTTTGTCTTTAAAAAATTATATGATCGGTATATTGTAAAGAAGAATTTTTTAGAAAGCTGTTTTATTATTCTAACATTCATATTTTTTGACCAGATTTATTCAACCTGCATAAATCAAAATGGCGGCTGGAACGTTGTCATTCTATTTTTGCCCCAGTTTTTTTACTTTTAGAGGCACGATAATGGCACTAAACATCGCCAATCATGGATGAAAATAATGTCAAATGGAAGAATATACCGATCTGAGCCGAGGTATGCATTAGTTAATTGATTTGATTGATAAAAAAGGTCACTTTTAAGGGACATACTGATGATAATAATCATGATATGCGCTTTTTATAGAGGCAAGTGACAAATCCTGCGAGCTGATTTCGGGACACCGGGTCCCGATAGGTGCAAGGCCGTCGGGACCCGGTTTATGAAAATCCCGACATGACTCAGGCCTAATCAAAACACGGCCTAAGTTTGATTTCCCAGTATATAGGTCAAAGGTCATAGCTCATTAAATATGCGAATCTGGTTTCTGAAATTGATAACTTTAGTAATGTTTGACGGATTTTAATCAAATTTGATATGAAAGTACATGGCATCAAAACATGGCCTAAGTTTGATTTCCCAGTATGTACCCTGCGAGGGGATGCTATGCTTTGCGTTGACTTGTTTTATTTATGTCATTTAGCATTATGAATGAGGGCTCATTATTTGTATTTATTGTAATATATTCATATTGGTATTTTATTAAATGTAATTTTTTTGTTTTTTTTGTTTGTATTTTAGGTTACTGAGAGTTCAAGAGTTGCAGAAAGTAAGTTGATATGCTTAGAAAGGCTGAAGTCAAGTAGTTTTTAAATTAAAGCTATGACGGAATGAAACAGATCCGCATAATTGGGAACAATTGAATGCAGAATACGAAAGCTATGGCTTTTAGAAATTGTCTATATAACTTTTTGGACACTACCAAGTTACTTTTAATTATGTCAGTAAAGGTATAGACCAGTTTTGGAAACGCCCCCCTCTCAAAAAATGAAATGGTACCTTTTATTACCAATCATGTGAAAGAATATGTTTTGACTAATACCTGATGATACAAATTTTGATACTAATTGATATATTTGGTAAATTATATCTATCCGGAGTGGATAGATATCGCGCATGTGTCGCATAGTCCCATATACATCTTTCTGTGTACAGTGCTTGTAACTTTACCATGACTGGGTCAAATTTCTCATCATTTTGATGATCCACAACCTTTCAGTACACACCAATACTTACCGTATATGCTAGATGATCAACCTTTTGTGATCGATTCCACAACGTTTCCGAAAAAGTTTGTTTAAACACCTAGTGCAAATGATAGATGTATTTTGATTTTAGTCCAATGCAATACATATAGTACAGGTGACCTTGCCTAAGTCGAACTTGGATAAGTCAAAAATTGCTATGGTTGAACGTCTACACGTAGCCCATCCTGTTTTGTCCCATTATTTTATAACCCTCCTAAATCAAAATTTGTCTAAGTCAAAGCTATTTTATGGGTCCCAAAAGATTTGAGTTAGGCCATTAATTTTTGTTTACATGTTTAGCGTCCCAATGCAATCGCATGACCAAAACTGGTCTTTACCTTTAAAGGTACTATGTCCCATTTGCAGGCCAACAAAATGAGAAGGCTACATTCGAACGGCATTTGAAAGATAATACTAATTTAGAAGTTCCCTAAAAAAAAAGGGGGGGGGGGGCTTGAAAATGTCTTTAAGTTGGAAAATAACGACTATTAGTTGTCGAATCGACTTAAGAACTATAGAGCCAGTAAGTAATGGTCTTATTTTCAGACCATTGTACCGAATGGTCGTACATTTTATGCTGCGCAAAGATTCAATCAGTTTAATTTTGGCCATTACAAGCAGAAGTGGGATATTGATGTTGACAAATGTTCATATACCCTTTACAGCTCATTTTATGTACATGTATGTTATTACCAAAGAAGAAAAAAGCCAGTGAGTCACTCAATAGTGTCTGACAGGGAAGCTAGTATAGCAAGTAAACGGGTTTCTTTGCATAATATGAATATTAGGACACTGCTAATGTTTAAATTTGACAGATAGGACATACATGACATATTCATAATTTCTGCAAAGTTCTACATAATTTGATGTTGGCTGCAAAAGGGACCGACATAGTATCTTTAAGCATTGGATGAGGGCTCACTATTTGTATTTATTTGTGTAATATATTCATATTGGTATTTCATGAAATGCAATTGTTTTTTTCTTTTCTTTTTTTCTTTCAGGTTATTGACTGTTTTCAGAGTTGCAGAGAGTTGCAGAGAGTTGCAGAGAGTAAGTTGATCTGCTTAAGAAGGCTGAAGTCAAGTAGTTTTTAAATTAAAGCTACAATGGAATGAAACAGATCTGCATAATTGGGAACATAATTGAACGCGGAATAGGAAAGCTATGGCTTAATGAAATTTCTATATAACATTTTTGACACTTCCGTAGGTATGCAACATAATTTTGTGGACAATTCATAATACTCTTCCATTGGGTGTAGCCAAAATTTGAAGAGAATCCATAGTGAATTATGTAAGGAGTTGATAAAGAAGAAAAAGTTTTTTTCATTGAACACCTAGTGCAAACGTATAGATGTATTTTGATTTTAGTCCAATGCAAAACATATAGTACAGGTGACCTTGCCTAAGTCGAACTGGGATAAGTCAAAAATTGCTATGGTTGAATGTCTACACGTAGCCCATCCTGTTTTGTCCCATTATTTTATAACCCTCCTAAATCAAAATTTGTCTAAGTCAAAGCTATTTTATGGGTCCCAAAAGATTTGAGTTAGGCCATTAATTTTTGTTTACATGTTTAGCGTCCCAATGCAATCGCATGACCAAAACTGGTCTTTACCTTTAAAGGTACTATGTCCCATTTGCAGGCCAACAAAATGAGGAGGTTACATTCCAACGGCATTTGAAAGATAATACTAATTTAGAACTTCCCTAAAAAAAAGGGGGGGGGGGGGCTTGAAAATGTCTTTAAGTTGGAAAATAACAACTATTAGTTGTCGAATCGACTTAAGAACTATAGAGCCAGTAAGTAATGGTCTTATTTTCAGACCATTGTACCGAATGGTCGTACATTTTATGCTGCGCAAAGATTCAATCAGTTTAATTTTGGCCATTACAAGCAGAAGTGGGATATTGATGTTGACAAATGTTCATATACCCTTTACAGCTCATTTTATGTACATGTATGTTATTACCAAAGAAGAAAAAAGCCAGTGAGTCACTCAATAGTGTCTGACAGTGAAGCTAGTCTAGCAAGTAAACGGGTTTCTTTGCATAATATGAATATTAGGACACTGCTAATGTTTAAATTTGACAGATAGGACATACATGACATATTCATAATTTCTGCAAAGTTCTTCAGAATTTGATGTTGGCTGCAAAAGGGACATAGTATCTTTAAGCATTGGATGAGGGCTCACTATTTGTATTTGCGTTGCCAATTTGAGGATCCCCATAGAAAGTACAACAAGTGTTTTCAAACTTTCATAACTCTCTTATTTTATAGCCGATTTTGATGAAACTTTTTTGAAATTGCTTCTCTCATATTACTCTTTCGTATGAGATGATTTTCTCCTTGGGTTTTGGTTTCCTTTTAGTTTTTGTGAGCAGATTTTTTACATTTAGGGTGTTTTATCACTATGACTATATGACTATGACTTTATTTTGGTCTCGGGATGCTCCACTGAGACTATCTTCTGGTTCCGCAAATCCCGGCTTGCCTTAATAGACCGCTGGCACCCGCGCCCGCACTAGTGGTGACGATAAATTGTGCACTGCATTTAATAGATGCACACAACACAGCGCTGTTGCAAAAGCGATAGTGGCTGGTCTTCTTACTTACGAAAATGCCAGATTACAAGTACTTAACATCTAAGCACACTTTCCAGCATCGCTCTAATTAAAGTAAGTATATTCTAGATTCTAATCTATAATCCATATTAATTCATAAACTTCATAATATGGTACAAACGAGCCCTTATCAGGGCTTTTCAATCATGTAAAAAGTGAATGGGGCTGGATCTGGCACATATCTATGTTGACTTAAAGGGGAAGTCTATTTTGAAGCAATAGTGATTTAATAATTAAGTCATTCTCATTTCAATAGATACGAGCTCCTTGATGATTTCTCAAGAATTGCCCAGACGTGTCTATTGAATTTAATTAATTTTTTTTTCTATTCCTTTCTGTCTTTTGCAGGACCGAGGGTGGTACACTCCAAAGAACTCTCCAAAGAACTCTCCAAAGAACTCTCCAAAGAACTCTCCAAAGAACTCTCCAAAGAACTCTCCAAAGAACTCTCCAAAGAACTCTCCAAAGAACTCTCCAAAGAACTCTCCAAAGAACTTGAACTTGCACTTGAACTTACACTTGAACTTACACTTGAACTTGCACTTGAACTTGCACTTGAACTTACACTTGAACTTGCACTTGAACTATCTTGAACTATCTTGAACTATCTTGAACTATCTTGAACTATCTTGAACTATTTTGAACTATCTTGAACTATTTTGAACTAAAGAACTTCCAAAGAACTTGCACTTGAACTTGTATTTGAACTAGCACTTGAACTTGAACTATCTTGAACCTTGAATCTGAAACATACATACTGAATGAAACTTGAATCTGGAAATCTTGAATCGAATCAAAACTGGAACAGAATATTTCTAAAGATTGTATTGCCATTTTTAGAAGACATAATTATTGTCAATTATAAAGAAATTATTGGTAGTTTCTAGAAGGAATTAAAAGTAAACTGAAATAAAAAGAAGAACAATAGAGGGAAAGGAATCTAACTCTAATTCCTGGAACTTGATAAGACCATACTTACAGTTGAAAGCAGTAATATTGTAAATCTTGGGAAAGAAAAAAAAGAGGTATACATTTTAAAGAGTAAAGTAGATTGGAAAAGTAGTCGTTCAAGATAAATATTGGAAGTTTGAAGGACTGTATTGCCATTTTAGAAGACATAATTATTGTCAATTACAAAGAAATTATTAGCAGTTTCTAGAAGGAATTAAAAGTAAACTGCAATAATAAAAGAAGAATAATAGAGGAACAGGAATCTAATTCTAATTCCTGGAACTTGATAAGACCATAATTACAGTTGAAAGCAGTAATATTGTAAATCTTGGGAAAGAAAAAAAGAGGTATACATTTTAAAGAGTAAAGTAGATTGGAAAGTAGTCGTTGAAGATAATATTGGAAGTTTTAAGGACTGTATTTTAGAAGACAAAATTGCTGTCAATTAGAAAAAAAATCTGGGCAGTTTCTAGAAGGAATTAAAAGCAAAGTGAAATAAAAAGAAGAACAATAGAGAAAAAGCAATCTAATTCTAATTCCTAGAACTTGATAAGACCTCTATTAGAATTCAAAACAGTAGTATTAGTAATCTTGGGAAAGTAAAAAGAGCGTATACACAGCAAAGAATAAAGAAGATTGAACAAAATAGTGTGAAGAAGGCAATATTGCAAGTTTGAAAGACTGTATTGCCATTTTAGAAGACATAATTACTGTAAATTAGAAAGAAATATTTGGCAGTTTCTAAAAGGAATTAAAAACAAACTGAAATAAAAAGAAGAACAATAGCGAGAAAGCAATTTAATTCTAATTCCTAGAACTTGATAAGACCATAATCACACAAAATTTGTGTCAATATATAGAGTCCTAGAAAAGTGAGCGTTGTTGATTGTAAAGAGAAAAGGAAAGAAATCCTTCGATATATAGTGTTCAGAATTTTAAAAATAAAAGTAAGCTTGATTGTAGAGAGAGTAAGAAAGAAGATTGGGTCAGGATAAATATATAGTTTTAGAAATATAAGTGAGGTTGATTGATTTGAGAAAGAATAAGAAAGATATTTTGATCAGGATATAAAGTGAACCTGTTTGCAGAGAGAGAGTAACAAAGAAATTAGCAATTTGGGAACTTATATAGGCCTACAATACATTTAGGCTATTAATGACCTACTCATAATTTTAATAAAAAACGCCATCTTGAGACAAAAACATTATAGCTCCTTAACACAGTACAAGCTAGTGTATATAAAGCTAGGCTATTGAAATACCATAGAGTTTAATATCAGTAAGGATTAGTTTTTCATAATTCACAATAGGAATATTTAAATAAAAGACTATTGGAGTAAGGAATATATACAGAACATTATATATCAAAGTTACAGAACCGTTAATTGTAGACTTGTAATTATTAACCAGAACTGTTGCAAGTATATAAGCAAAATTTACCATGATGGATACAATTGAATTTAAGAAAACACTTGATGAAATCATGAATATACTGACTAGTTGTGCATTGGTGACCAACCCAGATCTTAATGAATGCTGTATCTGTAACAATGAAATCAAAGAAAATGAAAGTGATGCAAGATGTGACTGTTGTAGTAAGCATTTTCATGTGACATGTATGGGATTCCCTTGTGAAGACAGACTGAGTGACCTGACATTGATCTGGATTTGTTCATTTTGTGGCAATAACAACATGGCTCATCGCATGTTTGATCAAGTATGCATCCCTTCTCATTTCAATAGATACGAACTTCTTGGTGATCATGATGAACACTGTTACTTGGATTTGAACCAATCAAGGACCCTATCAAGTACGACCAACAAAAGAAAATGTGGCAGATCAAAGAAGAGGTATGGTAAAAAGGGAAAGAAAACCAATCGATTGAGAGGAACACAACATCATATAACTGACAGGCAAACAAATGAGTCTGATAGACATAATCCTTTGGCTATGGAAAATCCATCCCAAATAGAACACGAAGAGATGCAAAATGAAAAATTTGAGGATGACTGGGTAATTGTGAAATCAAGGAAGACGAAATGGGTGGAGAAACTAAAATCAAGAAAATTGTATCCCAAATCAATAGATGATCATCAAACAGACAGGAAAATCAGAAGAAAATCAGTGAATGGCAAAGTCTTAGAACCTGGTGTAACTTACATCGGCAAAGCAATGAAGACATTCTATGAAAGCCATAGCAGGAAAAAAAAGGAAGACCGAAAGAAAGTTGATTGTAAAGAAAAGAAGGTGAAATCCGAGAAAAAAGATATCAGTGTTCAATCTTACACAGAAACTCTTTTAGGTTTATATGCCTACAGTGTGCAGTCCCCACATGCAATGAAGTTGTATAATGACATGTGTGTGCAAAGTGAAACGGCACAAACACGATCCTGGGCAGACATAGCAAGCAATTTGCCAACTCAATCTAGAACAGATACATGTGTTGATATCGATGTATGTACTTGTAATCTTTTTGAACAGATCAAGGATTTGCGAAAGTACAGAGTTCATGCTGGTGGCAAGAAAAAAGAAGCAAAGAACAAGAAAGGTCGAGCAAGGAACAAGAAAGGTCAGTCTTCCAAAGCCGGGAAAAAAGGCACTGATGGAAATCACTCTTCTGATAAATCAGAGATTAGATTTGACAAAGATGAAGGAATAGAATTAGCAGTAAAGAATGAGAAGCTGGATACAAAGAAATCTATGAATGCAAGTGACCAAGGACTTGATCCAAATACATGTAAAAATGATGAACACTCAGACCAGCATATTTGCAATATGAAAGACAACAAAGGTTCAGATGGAGTTGTGCAGGACGATTCAAAGAATAATCTGTTGAAATCAAATTTTGATGAAAATGGGGAAATTGAAACGGACGATGATAGTGGCAGTGATGTTCATATACCAGTGAAACGTTCGTGTGCAAGAAATTGTATAGAATCTGATAGTGATACAGACACAAGTCCTGGATGTGATTTATTCGATAGAAGTGTTTTACCACAACGCAATATGCCTTTGAATGTTTGTGATAGACCAAAAGATATGCCCATAAATGAACCAGTAGACAATGTCTGTGAATCGGTATTGGAAAATGATGATATGATGAAAAATGATTTTTCAGATGTTTCAGATGGTGTACAAGAAGATGCAGTGTATGACAATGACCTGAAGAATAGAAGCTTTGATACAGTAAAAGATGGTACAGACAATGATACTGATATGTCATTTAATGATCATGCTCATTCAAGGAATCCTTTAGAATCTTCTTCAGATTCAAATATCAAAGATGAAGACATTGAAAAGGCAATAGATGCTAATATGTACACATGTACTGATGAAACAGAAACAGAAGTTGAATTTGTAGCAGATCTTGGATTACGTGATAGACCAGATAAAGATTTCAAATTTGTACCCCTCCAGAATAATGACAAACAGAACATTTGTTCAAAACTGAATATCAGATATATAGGCAAAGGCTGTGATTCAAGGTTAGATAGAAATAGCTCTATTGGAGTTCCTTTACAGAGTAAACAAATTACTGGTGATGGCAATTGTTTCTTTCGTGCAATTTCCTATGTAATTTCTGGAACTGAGCGTAATCATGCAATTTTAAGAAATGCCACTGTGAAACATTTATTGCAAACCAAGGACATGTTTAGTAATACATTGAGGCAAGAATATAGAACAGTCAGAGAATATGTTTTGAAACGTAGAATAAAGGAAGACGGAACGTGGGCTACAGACACTGAAATTAGCGCTTTAGCAAATTTAATCGATACTGATATTTATTCATACAATGACCAAGTACCATGTTGGCAATTGTACTCTGCAAAGAAACCTGGAAGAATCAATATTGTTACATCTGATAAGGGAATTTATATACTGTACACAGGAAATGTTCATTTTAATGTTGTTGAATCTGTAGATTTTGTCAATTTCAATTCATTAGAACAGACAAGAACAACAAAGAGAACTTTGCCATGTCCATCAATTCAGGCTGATGTTAAAGTAAAGCATGTGTTCAAGAAGTGTAGATCCAAGTGTCAGATAGAGGAAGAAATTGATGAAGTAGTGGATAAGTCTCCTGAAACATTTCAAAACCATGTTGATCCAAAGGGAAAAAAACGTAGGCTCACGTTGGAAACTGGTACGATAAATCACGATGAGAGAAAAGGTACTGCAAATCTTTTTGACATGACATATGAACAGTGTGCAAGTAATCAGTCTAAATCAGTCGTTCACAACGAACGTAACACCAAGGACGAAACCCTTGAAAGTGATCACAAAGACAAATGCACGAGAGTTGATACACAAATAACGCTGGTTGCCCAAGGGACATTCAATCAAGGGGATACAAGATTTGGTGACTTAAGTGGAAAGCAGTGTGTTACCAATTCACTTTCTGCACTGTTGTATAGCAAGGTAAAAAATGCCAATGATTGGAAAAGTACAGATCTAGACAGGATTTTGAATAACGGTAATGAATTATATTGTTACATACGGCGATCCACTTCACTCGACAACCAATACTTATTGATATCTGATCTATTTGAATATTTGGATGCGTACAATGAATTGTTTAACATAGTATGCCGTGAACCAGTCACTGGATTGTTAGATGGAGATGAATTGATATTGGCCCAGTCTCTTTCGATGACATTGAAGCAAGCACTCGAAAAAGAACTCTGTACTGATTCTGATGCATGTTTTGTGACATTTGCTAGAAGTACTTTCATTGTATTATCTGGTCAAGATGGTTTTTTTATATTTGATTCACATTCCAGAAGCAGTCGAGGTTTCCTGATTTGTAACGGACACAGTGTTGTACTTCGTACTCAAAGCTGGCAAGGTGTGTACAAGCATTGCATGAGGTTAGCAAAATCAATGGGATGCCCCCTGCACACCGAATATGAAGTAACTAGTGTATGTGCTAAAGCAACTTCCGGTAAGAATGAAACCTTGAAAGGCTATCCACAGTTACAGGATTTTGTTTGTAATCCAATTCCTTCGTCAAATACACACAGTGAAAGTCAGTCTGGAAGCTCTGGATGTTCCATACATTGTGAAAGCTTTGATGAAGTTCAAATATTGGATGAGAGTGTTTCCCCACAAAAGATGATTGATAACCCAAATGTATTTCTCTTCCCTGAAAAAGCAAATGAAACGATCAGTCATGATGTACATTATAACGGTCAGGAATTAAAACTGAAGAGTGTGACAATTACCTTAACGAAACTAAAAGAACCACCGCTGAATAAAAGTTGTCTTTTGAAAAGAAATGACTCTATCAAGACAGAATATGTAAATGAACAAAATGGAGATTTCAAAAATTGTACTAAATGCGGGAATGACTCTGATAGATTAAATTTAGTGAACAAAGTTCAGAATTCCAACTCTATCTTAAGCAGAAAACGAAAATTGAGTAACATTGAAAATGATGCAAAAGTCGATGTTGACCTTGGTAATGAAGTTCGAAAAACCAAATTGGTAAAAATGAATGAGAACGACAGCTTAAGAATTGATGCAAGCGAATGTGCTGATAGTAATGATGAATTAATAATAATTGGAGAAGTTCATGTTGGAAATGTAGACCATGGAAAGAAAAAACGTAAACACAGACAAAGTTCTAATCAAAGAAGGGAGCGCAGTAGACAGCTTATGAGAGAAAAACGAGCCTTGACCAAAGATGAAATAATTAAGAAAAAGGAAAAGTGTCTTCACAATGCGCAAATGAGGAAAATTAAATCGAAGAATAAATATCAAAATGATTTAACCTATAACATGGAAAAAATAAATGAAGTAAAACAAAGACAAAAAGAGAATTACAACACTAATTTATCACACAAAATAAAGCAAGGAGCTTATGTGAAACAAAGGCAAAAAGAAATGTATAAAGAGGATTCAAATTTCAGGAACATACAGCTAAATATTATGAAAACCAAATATCATTCTGATTTATGTTATAAAAAGAAAATTTTGTATAGAAATAAACAAAAATATTTGAGAAATGAAGGATTTAAAGAAAATGTTAAAACAGCTATGAGGACTAAAATGAAAAATAAATATTGGAACGATGAACTATTTAAACGAATGCACAAGAGTAGAATAAGAAGTAAATACCAGCATGATGAACTATTTAAACGAATGCACAAGAGTAGAATAAGAAGTAAATACCAGCATGATGAACTATTTAAACGAATGCACAAGAGTAGAATAAGAAGTAAATACCAGCATGATGAACTATTTAAACGAATTCACAAAAGCAAATTAAGAAGTAAATATTTGAACGATGAAAATTTTAAGGAAAAACAACAAGATATCATGAAAAAACAAATGAAGAAATTATATCACAACGATCAACAATTTAAACATACAAAAAAGGCAAATATGAAAACATTGTCCAAAATTAGATATAAAGGCAACGAATTTAAGGAAAAGAAATTGATGAGCTTAAAAATGAAATATAAAAGAATTGAAAAATATAGGCAAAATGTAATAAAACAAAATCGAAAAAGGTCTGTACTTCGAACGGTAAAATTGTCCGAGTTTGATATTGTACTTGAAGAATTTAGAAAGATAATTTCTCATGGCCCAGAATATGTGTGCTGTGTATGCTTAAAACTTCTCTTTGAGAACCAGGTATTGAAATGTAAAAAGAGTAATTATAAAATTCACACGTGCATAAGTGAAGAATATTTGCATGTTTGCAATTCAGAATGCCGGTCAAAATGTTTAATAGGCCAGTCAGCCAGATCGACACTTTGGATATGCTTTACCTGTCATAGAAAATTGCAAGCTGGAAAAGTACCTGCAGAAGCAAACATGAACAATTTACAACTACATGAAGTTCCAGAAGAACTTGCCAATCTGAACAATTTAGAACAGCATTTGATTGCATTGAATATCCCTTTCATGAAGTTAATGGCCTTGCCTAAAGGTGGTCAAAATGGAGTCCATGGCCCAGTCGTGTGCGTGCCTTCAAACACTTATGAAACAGTAGATATGTTGCCAAGACCACAGACTGAAGATCAATTGATCCGTGTTAAACTCAAACGAAAATTGTCGTACAAAAGCTATTATGAGTACAAATTTGTAGATAAATCTAACTTGCTCAATGCTCTGCAGTATTTAAAAGCAAATAATAAGTGGTATTTTGATGTTGCAGTAAATGATAAATGGGAAAACTCACTTGAACGAAATGAAAAAGATAATGAAAAGGAAGAAGCAGTGGAAATTGGTGGTAAAGCTCGTTTGGCAAAATATTGGAAGGAAATGGAAGAACAAATTGATTACATTTTGTCCAAAGACAAAAATGCTAATGAAAACATGCAAGACAACAGTAAACTACAACAAAAAATAGATGACAACAACACTGAAGACGATATGGAAGAACGCTTACGCGGTATTCAGTTAGACTCATGTCTCCAGCCGGTAGATATTGGACAGGAAATATTAGATCAGTATTTTGAAGACATAATATGTTGTGCTCCTTGTGAAGGAAGAAGCCCTGTATCAATTCTACAAGATGAAAGCAATGAGGCCAAATGTTTCCCAGTGTTATTTCCTAAAGGTCAACCAACATTCCATGATAGAAGAGATGAAAAAATAACATTAGGACGTTATCTGCATAACCGACTGATGCACGTGGACAATAGATTTGCTCAGAATACAGATTACATCTTTTATGCACAATATATTTATGAAATTCAACAGGTTATATCACAAGTTTCTATCGCTTTAAGGCAAAGTCCAAACAAAAAAGATGATTCGTCTTCAATAACTGCCTCAGATTTGAAAGATGCAGAGAAAGTTAAAAAAATACTAAAATCAGACAAGGGCTATAAATTTTTAAAGCAAATTCGTGGAACACCTCCATTCTGGCAAAAGACACAAAAAGATGTTCTCGCAATGGTACGACAGCTTGGAAAGCCGACATGGTTTGCTTCTTTCTCATCTGCCGATATGAGATGGCCAGAATTAATGAATACATTGCTTAGACAAAAAGGAGACACCAGGGAATCGAGTGAATTAGACTATACAGAAAAATGTAATCTTTTAAGATCAAATCCAGTAACAGTTGCCAGAATGTTTGATAAAAGATTTCACACTTTTATGAAGAGAGTTATTTTATCTCCCGCTGCACCGATTGGTAAAGTAGTTGATTCATTTTGGAGAGTAGAGTATCAAGCCCGTGGTTCCCCTCACATTCATGCCTTGTTCTGGGTTGAAAATGCTCCACAGTTGGGTATCGATAAAGATGATGATGTCGTACAATTTGTAGATAAATACATTTCTTGCCAGAAACCGGATGAAAAGGAAGATCGAGAACTACATGAAATAGTAAGCAAGGTCCAACAACACAGTAAGAAACATTCTAAATCTTGCACAAAAACGGGAAAAGCGTGTAGATTTAATTTCCCAAGACCACCATCTGAAAAAACATTCATTGTAACACCTGTTGAAGAGATTCCAGCTAAAGATTGTGGGAAAGTGCAAAATAAGGGAAAGGACAATGATCAAATTAAAGCTTCTACAAAGATTAAAGATGATGCAGAGAAATTGTTGAAGTCAGTTAAAGATGCATTATCCAATGGAATCGAGTACAACAGTGTAAACCATCTCTTTGAAAAGCTTGGCATTACACAAAATCAATTTGAGAATGCACATAATGAATTAGCATCACAACAAAGTATAATCATCAAAAGAGAAATACAAGATGTATGGGTGAATCAGTTTAATCCAAGTCTACTAAGAAGCTGGAATGCCAACATGGATTTGCAGTTTGTAACAAATGTATTTGCATGCGTGGCTTATATTGTATCCTACATGTCAAAAGCTGAACGAGAAATCGGAATGCTATTGAGTCATACACTATCAGAAATGAAAGAGGGAAATGAGAACGCAAAGGAAAGCATGAAAAAACTTGGCCAGGTGTACATGCAAAATCGTGAAGTGTCTGCTCAAGAAAGCGTCTATCGTGTTTGCAGTCTCAGATTGAAAGAATCTTCTAGGAAAGTGGAATTCATTCCTGTTGGACCCGACCCTGTCAGAATGAGTTTACCATTAAGCGTTATAAAGAGCAGACCAGATAACGATAATGATGATGATGAGAATGTTTGGATGCCTAGCAAGCTCGACAGATACAAAGCTCGACCTAAAAACGCAGAATTCAGTGATATGTGTCTTGCAACGTTTTGTTCTCAGTATAGAATCTTAACTGCATCCCAAACGCCAAGTACAAGAAGTAAAAATGTCTTTAAATTAGATAACGATCTGGGATATATTCAGAAGCGTACTCGTACGGGAGATGCAGTTGTAAGATATCCCCGATTCTCACCCATCATCTCACCCGAAAAATATTATTTGAGCATTTTGCAACTCTTTCTGCCATATTTTGAAGATGGACAATTAAAGCCCCCAACATTTGAAACACATGAAGAGTTCTACGAGACAGGTTCTGTGAAAATATGTGGACGTGAATTGGAGAAAGTCTGGTCAATTGTCTGTACTAACCGAAAGAAGTTTGAAATGAATGCCGATGCAATTGATCATGCACAGGAGCATCTTGACAAATTTGGTCCACACGAAGATGCATGGGGTCTTTTATGTCCGGAAAAGGAAGTAGAGCGACTTGAACATCCCAAAGAAAATGTAGATGTCGAAGATTGTGATGGAGATCTTGATATCCCAGATTTAAAGAATGAACCGAAAAAAGATGACTATAGCATTGAACTACGTTCAGTAAAAATTTCCAAACAAGATGGACATTCTTTGATGAGGTCTTTGAATGAGAAGCAACAGAGTGTTTTTTACAAAATACGACAGTGGTGTTTAGATAGAGTAAATGGAAAATCGGTCGAACCGTTTCATATGTTTCTAACTGGAGGTGCTGGTACTGGAAAGAGTCATTTGATCAAATGTCTTTACTATGAAGCAACACGTATACTAGCCCGAATGTTGCCACATCCTGATGATGTCTCAGTATTGAAAATGGCTCCAACCGGAGTAGCTGCATACAATATCAATGGCCATACTATACATAGTATTCTTTCTATTCCAATCAATGCACAAAGACTGTATCAACCTCTGAGTGATGAGAAAATAAGTGTCCTTCGAAATAAGCTGGCTGAATTGCAAATTTTAATCATAGATGAAGTATCAATGGTAAATCAAAAGTTGATGTCTTACATTCACGGCCGCCTACGACAAATAAAACAATCACGAGATCAAACTGCTTTTGCTGGTGTTTCAGTTATTGCTGTGGGAGACATGTATCAGTTACCTCCAGTCTTAGGAACTCCTTTATATAAAGACACACTCAATGGTGCATTGTGGAATGCTAATTTCAAGAAAGTAGAACTTGAAGACATTATGAGACAAAAAGACGATACCCAATTTGCTTTTCTCTTAAATAGATTACGTGTAAAACAAGGGGAAGAGATTCTCTGTGATGAAGACCTAGCAATGCTCAAGTCCTGTGAGACTGGTGAAGAATGTGAAAATGCTCTGCATATCTATGCATGTAACAATGAAGTAGATGCTTGGAACAAGAAATTATTGCATAAAAAATGTGGAGATGTGATATGCGTAAAAGCACAAGACATGGACAAAGATGTTAAAAAAGGAAATCAAATACGGGAAAAACCTTATACAAAGATGAAAACCCAGTTGCCTCCTTATCTGTGGATTGCAGTTAATGCTAGAGTGATGTTGCTCAAAAACATTGATGTTAGTAAAGGCCTGACAAATGGATGTTTCGGAAATGTAACAGAAATAATAACGGATCATACAAATTTGAATCCAGTTTGCATCAAAGTTAATTTTGAGAAGGCCGATATTGGTATTCATTCAATCGAAATGTCTCAAGAATCCATTGGTAAGAAATATGTGAGAAAACAATTTCCACTTAAGCTTGCTTATGCTTGCACAATTCATAAAGTACAAGGTTCGACATTAGACAAAGCTGTTGTATCATTAAAAAATGTATTTCAATCTGGACAGGCATATGTTGGGCTTAGTCGCGTTACTTCGTTATCTGGACTTGTGATAGAACATTTCGATCCTAAACGTATATATTGTAATCCAGAAATTAAAGAACGCATTGAGATTATGAAGCCGTTTATTGAGAATGAAACTTCCGAAGATATTCACGATTATAACTTTTCTTTGGTAATGCAAAATGTACAAGGATTAAAACAGCATTTTACTGATTTCAAATCCCAGTGCCAATTTGTGAATGTAGATTGTATTTGCTTGACCGAAACATGGATTAATGATGATGATCTCTGTGACGTTGTTTTAGATAACTTTCGATTTTATCATCAGCCACGACATCTGTCATACTGTAATTCTGGAGTTGGAAATGTACTCAAAGAACAATCGCACGGAGGTGTTGCAATGTATATCAAGAATACATATTCAAGTAGATTAGACATATCTGTCGACAACTTAGAGTTTATTGCAATTCTTGTCACCAAACCAGTTTCTGTTGTGATTTCAGTTGTTTATCGACCTCCATCATATAGTATCAAATCATTCTGTGAATCATTAGACAATTTGCTAGATGTATTACACAAAACAAGCATTAGGTGTATTGTGATGGGAGATTTTAATGAGGATTTGTTTAAAGGTTCTTTACAGGTAAACAAGCTAATGTGTAATAAAGGTTACAAACAGCATGTTGTTAATGCTACTACTGAGAAGGGAACATTGATAGATCATGTGTACAGCAAGGGACTAGATTTATTGGAAACAGAGGTCATCCCTACATATTATAGTTACCATGAAGCTGTTAAGATTGCTTTTTAATATTAGTAGTAAAATGAGAAGAATAAACAAGTAAATTTCTTAATTTTGTTGATAATTAAACATTTTCATTTATCATGTCTTCATTCTTGCAAAAACGAATATGAATATTATTCCTTCTTAAAAGGGTTGTCAATATTTTGTTGGCTTACCGTACACTTATCAATGATATCATCTGCCATGGACATCACATTGAAAGCAGGTTGTAAAGTTGGTAAAAACCCTTTTCTTAAGGTGATGAGTTAAAGGATTTATGTGTTGTCACTCCTTGCCTTTCAAACCTTAGTATCTTTAAACATCACTCACATCATGACATGTACATGTATTTCGAACTTATAGATCATATTTGAGAAATCTAAAACAATGGTGCACATTTAGAATACTGGATTGATAGGTGGATGGATAACAAGATCATACATCCATGCTTTTTCTTCCCAGATTAAGGATTGTCGACCTGATCCGTATATTGAAGTTGGAACATTCCATGAACCTTGCAAAGTGCTCATTTTTTGACTGGGTTGGAGGAGGAGACAAGGTACGTCACGGTGGAAACCATCACTCTGAAGAAGACACTCAAATCAGAGATCAAGCTTGAACGTGACAATGAGACATGCAAGTATTTAAGTAAAGAAGAGGTTGATATCATATTATATATGGAATATCAAAATGGGAAGGTTAATGATAATGAAAGAATACTAATATCGGGACCCAATGCTGGAATGTTATTCGCTGAAAGATGATTGTTTGGTAGTGATAATGCGTTTTAGTTGAGTAGGTTATTCACTATGATGTAAGTTGTTTGAGTTAATGAAAATTGGAGGGTTATACAGAGATGCCAACCAGTACGATTAAATCATATTTAGTATGATAATAAGAGTGAAATACGATCTTAAAATACAATTTTTCATCTTTTTTCCCCCAAAAAACAAACACGGAATCGCATAGAAACATGTACGAGTAAACCCCTGCAACCCCAACAAAAACTGTGCTTTACAATTTTCTCATTAAATTTTAATGAAAGAGCAAACATATTTCTGAAATTCTACTGGCCCTGGGCTATTTTGAGCAACCCCTGACTGCAGGGGGGGGGGGGGGGGGGCTGTCGATATTTGAAAATGCAAAGGTTAATTTGCATAAATTTTGAATATGCAAATTTCATTTTATTTTCTTTAATATGTATTATATTGTTTTTTATTTCTTATTTTTTCTAGAGGGCTTAAAGCCAGAACTGTCTATGTCCATTTTTTGTGAAATTCAGTTATGTCCACCAAAGAACTGTATATTCATTTCACTTTGTGTCTATTCAGAACTGTCTATTCCCATGTGTCCATTAGCCATTTTACTTTGATGTTCAGACTGTTTCAAGTACATTCATCAAGAATTGCGCAATACTTGCAGTTTTCTACTCATTAAGCAGATAAGATTCCCTATGCAGCTATTTCACTGATTGTGGCCAAGCAACACCATACCATTGCCCGGAAAAAACGTTATGATAAATAAAAAAGACCAATGTGCAACATGTACGAAGTATGACCAGTTGTCTGGAGATCAGAAGGAGAATTTCACGGAAACCCATCTCGTACAAAAAACAGAGGCTCAAGATGCCAAAGCAGTTCCTTGCATCGTGTAAGACAGAAAATCGTTGTGAATAAGATGGAGTGCAAAAGAGGACATGCTTACAACAAGAAATATGCTGATAAATTTGACTTCGGTGCATCATCAGGAAAGAGCAAACATCATGCAACTTGCAAGGAATGTCGCCGAGATTTGTCAATTTTGCATGGCGGTTGTAATGACATTGTTGTTCATTGCAAATCAAAGCAACACATCACTGCTTTCAAGTCTGAATCGTCAGCACGAGAAATAACATCATGGATGTCAACCTCCAAGGATTTTAATATAACTAGAGCTGAGTGCTTATTTACATCATTTTATTTGGAGCACAATATTCTTCTATCAGCTGCAAGTCACATGGGACCATTGTTGAAAAAAGCCTTTCCTAATTCTGAGGAGGTTATGAAGTTTACCAGTGCAAGGACCAAACATCTTGTCTTGTGCGTGAAATGGCCAAAGATAAACAAGGACAGATCGTTTCAGCCATGAAAGCACGGCCAATTGCAATATCAACTGATGGGAGTAATGTCAGCGACAGTAAACCATACCAAATTGTGGCATGCCTCGGGAAGTGTCAGTGCTTGGTTGCCCCAATCATCTAATTGATTCTGCTGCCAAAGATGCGTCATCTGCATTACCATATTCAATTGACTCGCTCCTTATTGATGTGTTCTACTATCTGGAAGCCAGCGTGAACAGGAAATTGAATCTCAAGAAGTTCCAGATGCTCATTGGGAACGAAGTGCAGGCAGTTCTGAAACATGCTTGTACGAGATGGCTGAGCTTGGGCCAATGCTTGCCAAGATTTATCCAACAATGGCAAGCTCTAGTCCTCTTTTTTGAAGGAGAAGTGTCAGCCGAGCAGAAGACGCCTACTCAACAGACAAAGCAGAAGAAGCCTACTCAACAGACCAAGGCTACCAAGAATAGTGTCCAGACTTCACTTGTTCCAAAGAAGCCAACTCCAGCTGTGAAAAATGAACCTGCTCAGGGATCTCAACTGAAGGTAAGGCTAGAAAATGTATTACTACAAGGCATGTACTCCTTTTTATTCCATTTAAATATGGCCATCATTAAAATTACCAGATTTGAATAGATTAACCCTAGCAGTAGAGAGCTTTCTAAATGTTTGAATTAATCAGCTTTTACTCCTCAAATTGGCAACAGTTATTATCATTTTACACTCTAAAATAGTTTGAAAAAAATACGAAAATGGATATTACGTGAACCAAAATGGTAATTGCAAAATTTAATTTAATGTGTAATTAAATTTCATGCTTATAAATAAGTCATCAATAGTGTTGCAGGCATCGCATTAATTTTTTTAAGCTTGTCTTGTCCTGCAGAAAAAGCCTGCTCACCAAACCAAGATGACTGCACAACTCCAAGCATTCTGCATTCCCAAGAAGGTGTCTGCAGATCCACCACATGTGAGCAAACCTGCCAAGTCTCAGACCCAAGTGAGTACAAAAATTGATCATAATTCGTCGCTGTTTTCACGAAGTGACGGTAGTGAAATAAAATTGCATACAGTTTGCGTGACGATTTTCCTCACTACCGTCACTTCGTGAAAATAGGGACGATATATACAGGGTGACAGTTAAATATGTTCCTTTACATCATTTATTTTTTCTTCTTATTTTTAGGTCATTTACTTGTAAGCTCTTTCTCTTCCAATCATCTTCACTCTGCTGTTCAGTTTACAGATATAAAAATGTATTCAATAATGCTAGTCATCTGCCAAGATTTCAAATGTAGTGTATCTTTTTAATTGTAAACTGTGTCAGTAGTCTTGTTTCTTTCTCATATGGTAATCAATAATTTCTCTACCTCCCAGGTTCAACTTCAAACACCACAGCCACAACACAGTAGACCTGCATCTTCAAGCTCTACTACTCGGGAAAAACGACAAATGAGGAAGCTTCGGATACACCTAGAAAAAAGCAGAAGACTGGGAAAGTTGTTGGCAAGGCAACAGGCTCAACAGTGCTCAAGACTGGAACTTCCAGTCATCCCAGTATGATTTCTAGTAAAATGACTGGAAATGAAAAAACAAGATGTGGAGGAAAAAAAGAAACAAGACAGACAGTAAGAGATAAAACAAGACAGGAAAGAATTCTGAATTCATTGCACTCAAACCCAATATCAGCCACAGCATCATTGCATTTCACAAGAAAAATGTCATCTTTCAGACGAGAAGTCCTCTGATACAAAAGCTAAAAGGAATACTAGAAAGTCTACTGCGTGACTTGTACAGCCAATTTGTAGCTCCACAAGCAATCATTGCAGCCACAGACTTGACCCTTCTGGACTACAAGAACAAGGAGAATCTTTGTGAAGAATCTGAAATGGTCATAAAAAGCGCAACAAGAGAAATTGTGAACACTTTAGATGAGTCTGATTGCCATAAGTTCTATGCAGCAGTGCATTCATATTACACCAAGGCATGTGACTACATTGTAAGTAAGTTTCTATTGAAGTCTGATGTTCTCATCCATGTGCAAGTGGCTGACATTGCATATCAGAAGGATGCCAAATTCACTTCTCTAAAGTTCTTCATCAACAAGTTCCCCTGCATGTTGCTTCAGGAAGAAGAAGAAGACAAGCACAGTGCCCTAGATGCTCTGGAGAACCAGTTCCTTATCTATCAAATTGCTCAGCTTCCGGACTTAGTGCAAAATGAGGAATCTACTGACAAGCAGTGGACAAGTATGATGACAGAAAAGAATGTTTCTGGTGAACTGTGCTATGACAGACTTGCAAAAGGGATTCTAACCATACCCCATACCAATGCTGAATGTGAAAGGGTCTTCAGTCAGGTGCGAAAGAACAAAACTGACTTCAGAGGGTCCATGAGCAACGAAACTCTAAAAAGTGTCCTTATTACTAAGGCTCGCCAAACAACACCCTGCTACATGAGGGAATTTGACTCTGATTTTCCAAAGAAAGCTCGTGATGTGCGCTACGCGCACATGATATTCAGTTTTACTTAAATGTTACTAATTGAAAATTCCAAAGTGTTGGCAGCTATGCCAGGCCAAGGTAGTTGCTGGAAAGAGGACTTTTGTCTCTGCTTCTTTTGATTTGCAAAGTGAATGTCGCTGCAACATTACTCTATGCCATCCAGAACACACATCTCAAAGTCATCGCACACAATTTTCTGGAGAGTGGGCATTCCCACGTGGAATGCAATAGCATGCATTCTGCTATTGAAACAGAAAAAAAGAACATCAATGTCTTCACAATGCATGACTGGGTAAAACATTTTCCACAAATTAAGACGTCGGCTTCCATACAAGGTCATAAACATGTGCCATGGAGACTTTTATGATCTGAAAAATCTCTCACAGCAGATCATGAATAACAAACGCCTAGACGAAGATAGACACGTCTTCAACTGGCTACATGTAAAGAGCTTCCAATACAGGAAGGAAGAGCAAAGCACCATCTGCTACCATCTATAACTACTTGTATGACTACAAGAAGATAGATCATCAGTTCCACGTAATCTGGACCTTGTCTACCAAGAGAAGCATTTAAAAAAGCCTAAACCTTAAGAAGAAGGATCTCATCAACTTGTGCAATAGCCTAGCCATTCCTGAAGAGTTCCATGGATGGTATTTGGCACTCCCATTTTTTAAGTTTCTGACATTGACAGGGTCAAAGGTCATGGCTTCCATGTATGATGTTTGACCAAGTATTATTTATAAGTTAATGGCATTAAACATAACTACTACACTTTGTCAGATTTTATGCTTGCAATCAAACTTTTAAATGCATTTTTACTCAAATGGCATATTTGGACATAGACAGTTGTGGTTTTAAGTCCTCGATCTATTATTTTATTTCTAATGTATTCTTTTGTTCTGGAATACATCAATTACTTTGAGAAACGTATCAAAGCAATTTGATATCAATTCATATCTCCCACTTATATACATCTATTTACCTGTATTCACATTTCTGCTTGTACATGTATATATGCAATTGTAGCACTTTTTGCA